TTTGGATTAGAAGAATTAATATTGTTAAAATACCCATAGTATTCAAAGCAATCTACAAATTCACTGCAATCTCTATTAAAATGCCAATAGTGTTTTTCACAGAACTAGAACAAGTAGTTCTAAAATTTGTATGGGGCCACAAAAGACCCTGAATAGTCAAAGCAATCTTGAGAAAGAACAAAGCTGGAGGTATCACGCTCCCTGATTTCAAACTATACTGCAAAACTGTGGTAATCAAAACAATATAGTGTTGTTATAAAACCAGACATATCAATCAATGGAACAGAATAGAGAGCCCAACGATAAACCCACACAAATATGGTCAATTAATTTACAACAAAGGAGCCAAGAATATTCTGTGGGAAAAGGGAAGTCTCTTTAATGAATGCTGTTGGGAAAAACTGGTCAGCCACATGCAAAACAATGAAACTAGACCACTGTCTCACACTCTACACAAAAATTGCCCCCAAATGGATCAAGGACTTAAATGTGAGACTTGAAACCATAAAACTCCTAGAAGAAAACATAGGAGATAAGCGTCTCAGCATTGGTCTCGGCATTGAATTTTTGGATTTGAGTCCAAAATCAAAGGCAACAACAACAAAAATAAACAAGTGGGACTACATCAAAGTAAAAAGCTTCTTCATAGCAAAGGAAACCAACAATCTAAAGAAAAGGCAACCTACTGAATGGGAGAAAATGTTTGCAAATCATATAATCAATAAGGGTTTAATACCCCAAATTTGTAAAGAACTCAAACAACTCAATAGCAAAAAACCCCACAACCAACCCCATTAAAAATCGACATGTTTCCAAAGAAGACATACAGATGGCCAACAGGCACATGAAAAGATGTTCAAAATCATTAATCAGGGAAATACAAGTCAAAACCATGGGAAGATATCCTTTCAAATTTGTTAGAATGGCTATTATCAAAAAGACAAGAAATAGCAAGTGTTGAAGAGGATGTGGAGAAAAGGGAACCCTCGTACATTGTTGGTGTGAATGTAAATTAGTGTAGCCACTATGGAAAATAGTATGGAGGAACCTCAGAAAATCAAGAATAAAACTACAAAGTG